CTTGAAGAGATGCCTTCACCCCCATGTTCATTGCAGCATTACTCACAATACCCAAGGTACGGAAACAACCCAAGTATCCATCACTGGATGAATCAATACAGAAATGCTCTTTACTACGTGAAATAAGCCAGTCACAGAAAGACGAGTACTGTGTGACTTCACTTACACATGGAATCTAAAAAGCCAGCCACGGAAACAGAGAGCAGGATGGCGGTTGCCAGGGGCTGAGGGGTGGGGAAAACAGGGAGATATTAGTTAAAGGGTATAAATTTCCAGTTATAAAATAAGTAACTTCTAGGGAACTAATGTACAGTATGGTGACTACAGGTAACAATACTGTATTGTATAGGTGAACGTTGCCAAGAGAGAAGATCTGAAATGCTCTCGCCACACACACACATGAAAAGGTAATTATGTGAGGTGATCGATGCATTAACTAATCTTATTGTGGTCAACATTTCACAATGTACACATGTATCAAATCATCACAATGTACACCTTAAACGTACACAGTGCTACATGGCAATACTATCACAATAAAGCTGGGCAGAAAGATTGTTGCTAGTTCTTAAAACTCAAAGCTCCGGGGCAAAAATCTACCTCCAGGAGTCACTGTCAACTAGCAATCACGACTTACTGAAGTTTATGCTAATATCTGGCCCTTTCCCAACCAGAAGCTTCCAGAAACAGGCATTTCTGATCCCAAATGTGTACTCAGTCTAATCACTAACATGGACGCTAACGTTATTTGAACTGGATCTAGGCCTTACATACCGAAGTTTCCTCTTGCCACAGAAAAGCGGGGGCGGGGGGGAGGCGGGGGGGTTGGGAGGGGTTAGAAACCCCAGCATCAGAGTTTGCATCCCTGAGCTCCTGTATTGGGCATAGATTTTAGAAGAAAACCCAAGAGTGTGATGCAGAGTGAGGTGGTCCTCAGATCTCAGTGAGTTCAAGAATTATCTGGGGAGGATGATAAAAATACAGGCGCTTTGCCCAGCAGGTATTGCTCAGTGGTTGAGCATCGGACCATGAACCAGGAGGTCGCTGGTTCAATTCCCAGTCAGGGCACATGCCTGGGTTGGTGGCTCGATCCCCAGTGGGGGGCGTGCAGGAGGTAGACGATCAGTGATGTTCCTCTCTCATGGATATTTCTATCTCTCTATCCCTCTCCCTTCCTCTCTCTCTAAAAAATCAATAAAAACATATTTTAAAAAATGTACACACACACACACACACACGCACGCACACATGCTTAGACTACCAATCACTCTGAACTCAATATGGGAATCTAAACCATAAGTAAAGCATCAGGTGCCTGGATCACATTTTGAGACAAACTGCTGTAGAACATGACTAACCTGACACACATCTTTTAAAAGAAAAAAAAAATACAGTTTTATTGATTTCAGAGAGGAAGGGGCAGGGAGAGACAGAAACATGAGTGCTGAGAGAGAATCATTGACCAGCTGTCTCCTGCATGCCCCTCACCGGGATCAAGCCCGCAACCCGGGCATGTGCCCTGACCTCCTGGATCATTGGTCGACACTCTACCACAAGCCATGCTGGCGGAGCCAGCACACATCTTAGATCAGTGATGGCAAACCTTTTGAGCTCGGCGTGTCAGCATTTTGAAAAACCCTAACTTAACTCTGGTGCCGTGTCACATATAGAAATTTTTTGATATTTGCAACCATAGTAAAACAAAGACTTATATTTTTGATATTTATTTTATATATTTAAATGCCATTTAACAAAGAAAAATCAACCGAAAATTTGAGTTCGCGTGTCACCGCTGACTCGCGTGTCATAGGTTCGCCATCACTGTCTTGGATGAACAAAGCACTGACTCTCAGAGTAGTCGTTGGCAGGTCCTCACTGGAAGGGGAGAGAGGCACTGCGGCTTAATGTGGATTAACTTCCTATAGGGCTGGCTTGACTCAACTGCAAGCGGACATCCAAGCACCCAGATGTTTCTCTGTGACAGATGGGACTTAACTAGGAGCTGGTTGATTTTTTTCTATTTTCATCCAGACATTCAGTTTCATGTGAAAGAGAAACTGTGTGCCCATGGGCAGACGAGAATTCCACACGCCTTCGTGGGACAGTCTTTGAGAGCTGAGCTAGAATCTACTTCAACCAGAGGGGACTCAGCCGTCAGGACTACCAAAAAAGCAAGACTGAATGCTGGAAGCCAGATTAAGATTTGTTAAAATATATTTTTATTGATTTCAAAGAGGAAAGGGAGAAAGAGAGAGAGCGAGAGAGAGAGAGAGAGAGAGAAACATCAATGATGAGAGAGAATCATTGATCGGCTGCCTCCTGTACTCCCCCAACTGGAGATCGAGCCCGCAATCGGGCATGTGCCCTTGACTGGAATCGAACCAGGACTCCAGTCTACAGGCTAACGCTGTCTCCACTGAGCCAAACCAGGTAGGGCCAGATGTAAGATCTTAACAACCAATTTCTCCCTTCTGACCCCTGTCCACACTCACCCCACCACAGAAAACATTTCTTGCCGCAGAAAATTATGTTGAGGCCTAAGTAAACCTGCACCAGCCATGAATACGCTGCCTTAGAGACAATTCCATTTTGCTGGCACTGCAGAAAGCAGTGACTGGCAATCTGTGGGCGAAACCGAGCTGTAAGAACGCTGCATCTTAAGCCAAGTTTTGCTCCATCCATCATTCAACCTGCAGAAGTCACAGCTGAGGCTGAGCACCAGCAGCTCACACGGGACCTGTCATCACGGCTGCTTGTTAAATAAACGTGGGTACCTTTTGAGATGAAGATGCCTTTGAAAACACATTTGTCCTGGGTAGGCTGAGGCATCAGCCCATCACCACATCACACGTCCTTTACGTGTGTCTTTAGAATCAGGGTTTGTCAGAGTATTCCTCTCCACCTCCTCGCACTCTTCCTTTCCATAAATACCAATGTCTAATTAGAACTCTAACAACAAATCGCATTTCTTTTTAAACCTCTAATATGCAACTATGTCGATTAAATACACAGTAGTCCAACTCATAATAGTGAATTTTCCCCCCTCAAAGATATCGCATTCCAAAAGAGCCCAACAGAAATAAAAACGAGATGGTTCTTTTGTTTTAAATATATTTTTTCTCCTGGGACCCAGCTGAGGGGCATCTCGGGCCAAGGAGTTGCCCTCCTCCCTCCCAGACTGAAGGGCCCCTGAAGACTCTGGGACTGGGAGCTCTCTCTACATCTGTCATCAAGAGGCTTGCATTTGTTTATTTCCTTTCCTTCCCACATTCATTAGTCTGTCTGAGCTAAGCAGTCATCTTTCCTTTCAAGCACTCTGAAGAATGAGAATAGAACAAGAAGTGGTCAGTGTGGGCACTGAATATCATTGTTCGAAGACTCACTTTTAAAAATAGCTTAGCATGATCTAGCCAGTTTGGTTCAGTGGATAGAGCGTCGGCCTGCGGACCAAAGGGTCCCGGGTTTGATTCTGGTCAAGGGCACATACCTTGGTTGCAGGCTCCTCCCTGGCGCCGGGGCCCTGGCTGGGGCTTATGCAGGAGGCAAGCCATCGATGTGTTTCTCTCACATCGACATGTCTGTCTTTCCCCTCTCTCTTCTACTCTCCGTAAAAATCAATGGGAAAATATCCTCGGGTGAGGATTAACAACAACAAAAAACATACCCAAGCAAAAAGTCTGCCATACGCAGGCAGCACCCCAAATTGCTTTTTAAAATAAAGCATGTGGGTGCGGGGGGAAGCCCTGCTTTTCAATGTTGTGTGGTGGTCATCGTCCCCATTGACGACGAGGGAATTCACTTCTACATCCTGAACGCAACGGAACTGAACTTCACAGGAGCAACAGTTCTCGCGCAGGGAGTGTTTTCTCTGTGCGGGGTTTGCCGAGCACTCTACTTACTTCCCACGCTGTAGACTGTCTCGTTCTCACTCTGATTGTAACGGGAGTCTCCATGACCATCCCTGCTTATCTTGGACTCACGGGCGGGTAACTTGGGCAATAACGTACAGGGAGCACTGTAACACAGAGCAGGCACTCAATAAGTATCTGTTGAAGAAATAAATGAATGGGTAGAGGCACTGAATGAACGCTATTCTTGAACAATACATCCTCCGTCTTTCTGACTGCACCCCCAAGACTCTGTCACGGGTGTTTCTCAAGGAGCGTCTCACGTAACCGACACCTGGGGGTGGGATCCATGCACTAGAGTAAGTCGCTTTTACATCAAGTTCCTATTGTCAGAGGTCCTCCTTCCACAAGCAGAAATGACATGAACCAAAATCATCTCCTTAGTTTATTTCTTCTAGAGCCCTTAGCATGCTACATTAACCCGACAAAGCTTAATCTCGTGTTCATTTCACAACACATTTCATGCAGTTCACAGCTGTGACGGGTTTTACATTGACATTACACGTGTTTCGATTCAGCCATGTGAAAGGAATAATTCTTAATGGGGTTTGTCTCTGAAAACTGTCCAAGCTTAAATAAGCATGTGGGCCGTTGGCTCTGTTCTTCAGTGCAGTCTCTCCTTTAAAATGCAAGACGGATTTCCAGCGCAAGAACATAATGTCGCCGTTTGCAGTCCCTCTGCAATCGCACCACTTCCTTTGGGAGCCACATGTCCTGAGGAATCCCTCCACCAAACTGCATTCAAGTATACGGTTGTACTGAACACTCCGGGTGGAGTTTAGGAGCAAGGCTGACCTTCAGCGTCACATCCCCAAATAAATCTTCCGCGGTCCCAGCTTTCCCAAGACTATGCTTAGCACGAGACTCTCTTGTACAATAAGCATTTCAGCACTAAAGCCACAGAGCAGAGCTATTTGGCATTTCTCAGTGAAGTGCAAGAAATTAAATAAGTTATGTTTTCATTGCTAATAGAATCAAGCACAGTCACTTTGTCAAACAGAAGGAAAAGGTATACACAGGATGTGGCTTCTCCTCAGGCCCTCCCCCCGGCCCCCTCCCAGGGTTCAGATGCACAGAACGTGTCACCCGGTCCCTTCCCGTCCGGTTCCACTTTAGGATGATGTGTTGAGTATTCTGGAGTCTGAGGAGTCGGACCGCTCGTCGTAGTCGTCCTCGGGGTAGATGGGCTGCTTGGACACCATGGGGCACCCCTCGTCAGGGATGGAGATCCGCGGGTCCTCGGGGGTGCGCGCGGGGAGGACCGGCGAGCTCCTGAAGACGCTGGCAGAGCTCCCCGGGAAAGGGCTGACGTACTGGGACCTCAGCTGGTACTGCTGCTGCAGCGTCATGGTGTTCCACAGGGTGACGTCGTTGGGCAGGAAGGGGCTCGACTGGTTTCTCGCCAGCGTGTTCCTCAGCATGAGAGGGTAGCGGGGCGGCTGGGGGAAAGGGTGCTGCAGGGGCACGGCCAGGGGGTTGGGGACAACGTTACTAGAGTCCGCAGAAAGCCTCAACGTGTCTGGGACTCGGAAGGCCGACCCCACGGACCATTTGGAGGAGGAGATGGGGTAGGAGCTCAAGGTGTGTTCGAAGATGTGCCCGTTGGAGGGCAACAGGAGGCTCTCGGGCTCGGCGGCAGTTCGCTCGGCGGCCGAGACCGAGGACCGGCTGGACAGCAGGACCTCCACGGCGCTCACCAGGTCCCCCCCACAGCCCTTCAGGATCAGCTCCAGCACCGTGGGCTTCTGGTTGGGGAATATTTTTTTTAACACTTCCAGGGGGGGTCTGTTGGCCTTCAAGCTGAAGGGCAGAGAGACGGTTCCCGAGGGGCCCTCGATCAGGAGGTGATTCTGCTCCCCGTGGTACTTGGGGCTGCCGGAGCGGCTGTCCGAGGTGCCCCCGTTTTTCGGGCCTGCATACCCACCTTCATCCACCGACACTATCTCGGGGCTCTCGGGGGTGAAGCAGCCTTTACTTTTTGCAACATCCGGGGAGCTCCTCTGGTCCGTGTCTTTGTCGCTGAAGGTCTCTGCGCTGTCGGCCAAGCTGCTGTCCCCAAGTCGCTCTTCAGTCAAATCTGAAAAGCAGAGAACAGCTGGGTTAATCCTCTTCTGGTGGCATAAAGAGGAACAGATGTGCTCAGGGGGACCCCGCACGGGCTTTCTGGAAGGGGAAACGTGTCCCAGTGGGTCACAGCATACCACAAGCCTTAAAAGAAAGAAAGAAAAATAAATCCAAACTATGTCATTGGCAAATGGCAAAAAAAGACCCCTGAGTATGGACATCTAGAAACCAGAGTGATGTCTCGGAACCATGTGTTCGGGGAAGCTTGTCTCAAACACGAGGGCAGCGTAAGGCCGAGGCCCCCAGGAGGTGTGGCCGCCCAGCAGCACAGCCGGACCAGGGCCCTTCTGTGGGCTGGGGACCCACAGGCCCAGGGAAGGCAGGAACGGGAGCTCAGGCTTCCCTCCGGCTCTTCTTCTGCAAACGCGGGGGCCGGTGGAATTTAAGGACATCTTCGGCCTGCGGGTACCCGTGTATTGCGGGAAAGTTTAATATGTCAGATCCATTTTCCGGTGCGTAGATTTCTCATTAAATATGCCTGGTGAAGTGGGCACTGACGTGCTTCCACAGGACACTGCGTACAAGAACGAGCTGATATGATTGCCAGGGCGAAGGGAAGAGGCCTCTGTACATTGAAACCTTTATTTAAAAGCCACCGAGGTGTGGCTCAGTTGACTGAATGTCGGTCCATGAACCGAGAGGTCACTGGTTCAATTCCTGGTCAAGGCACGTGCCTGGGCTGCGGGCTCAGTGCCTAGTGGGGGGCATGCAGGAGGCAGCCCATCAATGTTTCTCTCTCATTGATGTTTCTATCTCTATCCTTTGCCCTTCCTCTCTCTCTAAAATCAATAAAAACGTTTTTTTAAAAGCCACTTGAGGGGCTGGCAGACCTGTCAACAACTTGGATTAGAAAGCATGCAAAACCAGCTGTGCATTCTGGACGGTGGGGGACAGGTTGCAGGAGGGGAAGGAGGAAGTGACTTGACAGGGTTCATGGAACTATGCAAGGAGCATGACCCATCAGTGAGGCAAATGCACCCCTAACTCCAGAACCTGGGGTGCAAGGGGGAGATACATTTTCCATGAACTGTTTTGTTACTAAAGTGCATTGAAAGGACTTAAAGAAACCTTGAATTAAAAGAAGAGAGAGGGGAAAACAGCTTTCCAAATAAAGCAGAGATCTGCTGTGAAGTAAACCAGGTGCAAATTTAACATCCTGACCTATGGCCTTACCCCAAGACGGGCTAGAATTACAGTGCTAACCAGGCAGAAAGGAGTAGCTAAGACTGTTTACTCGAAGAAGTAAATGCTAACAGACCTTTGTAATAAAGAGACATATTCCTTATTAATAAGCTGCATGCAAGTGGAACTTTATCCTTCTTAAAACATGTACTGGCAGTGTCTTCTGAAAGCCAATGTAACTGATCTAAAGGTGAAAATTATTAAGGACCCACTTGTCAGGTTGTAAACAAGTGGTTTGCCTGTGTTTTCTACTTCCTGGCGTGAATGGCCTCATTGTCCCCTTCCCTATGGGCAAACCTGATTATGTGTAGATAGCCAGTTGGTGAAATTTCATCAAAGCAGCTTCTAAAATCCATCTCCTCCTCTGTGTTGTTGTTTACTTTAAAAGCCTTAAACAAAGGCCCATTTATGAACATGCTTCTACTATGGGCTGTGTCTTAAACATAACTGAAAAAACAAAACTTTGGTTCTCCACAAAGCAATAACTATGTGCCAAGCAAAAACACTTAAAAGATATTCTTACATTATATCAGTGCAACTTTCAATCATAAATCTGATAGGAATTCATATTTATCCCAAATTTGCATTTTAAGTAAGCTGTTTTTCCCAATATAAGATCTCTCTAGGGCAGTGATGGCGAACCTATGACACGCGTGTCAGAGGTGACACGCGAACTCATTTTTTTGGTTGATTTTTCTTTGTTAAATGGCATTTAAATATATAAAATAAATATAAAAAATATAAGTCTTTGTTTTACTATGGTTGCAAGTATCAAAACATTTCTATATGTGACACGGCACCAGAGTTAAGTTAGGGTTTTTCAAAATGCTGACACGCCGGCCGAGCTCAAAAGGTTCGCCATCACTGCTCTAGGGGGTTCATGTATAGCCCAGAGATGGCTTACATCTCTGCTTTCTGCAACAACTCTGGGATGAACAGAAGACCTATCTTTGAAAGAGAAATCTGACATATTCTCTCCTCCAACTTCCTAGGACTGGAGACCCAGTTTCATCTCCCGAGTTAAGGTGGTACTTATACTTCATCCAGAAGAGAAAAACAGCACACACACAAAAAAAGCATCTATAAATTCACACTCACACACTGTCACCAGTATGTTAACTCAGCACGGAACTGAACGCACAATTGGATTTTGGCCCCTGATCAATGGAGCTTGGAAGAGCAAGTCAAATACTCTCCCTGAGCAAAAATGAACATCAAAGAACGTTTTCAATATTAGGTACCTCTGAACAGTTTTCTTATGTCTTTAACTTGAGCTTTCATTACCTGTTATCATCAGGTATTTGTATCCCTGTAATACACAAGATACTGGAGACACAGAATAGATGGCAGCATATAACAGAAGTGTGAGACTTGCCCCTAACTTGTGGAATTTATCACTAAGTTGGGGAGATAAGATGCATGTGCAGGGGGGAAAGCAAACACACCCAGGTAGACTTGCTACGCATTACATATAACACACATGTACACAAATGTTCAAGCAGCAGCCACAATAGCCAAAAGGCGAATGCAACCCCAGTGCCCACAGATGGATAAGGAGATAAATGAAATGTGGTCTATACATACAATGGAATATTATTCAGCCTCAAAAAGGAATGAAATTCTGGCACATGCTACAATGTGGATGAAAACATGCTAAATGAAATAAGCCAGTTACAGAAGGGCAAATATTCTACGATTCTACTTATTTGAGATACCTGGAATAGGCATATTTATAGACAGAAAATAGAGTGGTGGTTACCAGAGGCTGGGGGGAAGGGAACAGTGTCTTACTGTTTAATCAGTACCAAGTTTATGGTTGGGATGATGAAAACGTTCAGGAAATGGATAGCGGTGACGGTTGCACAACACTGTGAATGTACTAACGCCACTATGTGATACCCCTAAAAATGGTTAAAATAGTACGTTTTGTTATGTGTTGGTTTGGCACACACACACAAAAAAAGAAATATGACACATGGTATCCGAGCGATACAGGGGATGGTAAGATTTTTTTAAGTAAGAGAAACAAGTGTTTCTTCTAAAAAATAAAGGGTGTATAAGTTTAGCTGAAAAGCTCAAAACTTTACTATTTTTAAAAAGAAATATGTGGACCTAAAATCAGCTTCCTATTCTGAAAGGTAGATTTTCCCCACCCTGGGTGAGTCTGAAACACGGACAACATTAAGGGAAAGGTTCTGAGGTCACTCTCCCACAGAATGCTTCAGGCTCCAGGAAAAGGGGGTTCAAACAGGAACTAGAGAACGCTATTCTGGCTGATCTGACACATCCACCGTTATGAAAATATAGCATTTTTTTTCAGGTTGGCAAACGATACACCATCCCAATAACCTGGATATGGGATGGCAGGAGTGTAGGTCTATGACAGTATAAAATCCACTGTTGACAGTGGAATCTTATATGGGTGCCACCTTGTTCCCCAATTGGGCCCCCCGCCCAGACTTTCCTCATGCTACCCTTTGCGCCTGCTGCTGTGCCATGCCCAGTGCAGCACGCGCTTCCGGTTAGTTCTGAAGGGATGGTGGTGGACTGTGCTGATTCATCCACTCTCAGGTTTCTGGGCTGATCAGCCTCTCCAACTGGGAGTCCAGGCTATGGCGACAAAGTGAGAAAAGCTAGTAAGACGTCACAGGAATCCAATGTACGAACTCACACTCCAACCAACCGAGGTCAGCACTGTTGATACTGTGTTCAAAGGGAAGATAGAAGACATTGAAAGAAGCAATGAGTGGGACTCGCTGATGGCGTTCATACACCTGAGCAGCACAGAAAGGCCTGCTGTGGGGTGTCAGGTGAGCAGAATCCCAATCAACAGCCAAAGGCTACTGGGGTTTCCAAATCGGGCAAAGGGCAAGGGAAGACTAACCTCTCACCTTGCACCAAGAGCAAATCCCTCGGTCAACAATAATTTCTGAAAGAAGAATATACAGTCCCTGCAATTCTGTGGCATTGTGGTCTATTGGTTGTGTTGTGGTACCTAAACTACATGTACTGTAGACTATTCTATTATAAACACAGACTCTCACAAGTAATTATAGAGGGTGAGTTGTGAGCCCAGCGAAAAAGCATAATGTAATAACAGGTGTTTCTTTACATCTCTAGATTTTTTTTCCCTAAATGAACTTTATAAACTGTTCGTGTTGGTTTAAAACACAAAGGCCTTTCTTGATATAGAAATGTGAAGCTGCCAATGAACACAATGAAAAGGAAACTACCCCCAAAATGCTTTACCCTCTTTTTTTCTTGGAAGTGACACCCTAATTCCTAGAGCACAAAGAGGAAGGGTATACTTCAACTGGTAATACTTTCACACCTGGAATATGGGTATGGGAAGCCAAAACTACTGGGCAAAAACTGAAAAGAAATCAATTTCATCTGATATTACAAACTACCTATTGAAAGTGATAGTCTGTTGTATCTAATGCTTAAACATTTAGACATCTTTAAAATTTACTCAATGCTCACTCTTCAATTTCATATTTTTTATGATGTAGAAACACAACCACCCATAAAATAAACTTTTCATTAGGGTAAAGGTTTTTAAAAGGTGATATTCAATTAAGAAGGAAATTTTTATATGGATAATGAGATACATATATTGTATATGTATGTGTGTGAGTGTGTGTGTGTGTGTGTGTGTGTGTGTATATATATATGCCATAAGATAGCTACAAGACTTTAAAGAGAGAAAATGAACACTCACACAAAAGTGACTTCCATCTAAAATAAAATTACAGCTCGAAAATCTAACTT